GGTTTCTTCAACAGAGTAAGAATCCTTCCCATGACCACATCCGTGAAACATCAAACTCAGAAATGATCAGAAACAAGCATTTGAACTACAAGAGCTCAAGAATTTCTCAGCAAAGACTGCAGTCAGTTTTTAACAAAGAGTCCTTGAGAAGTCTCGCAACTGACCACTACAGCTTATTTTGACAAAATTTTCAAAAGGAGAGAAATTATATAATATGTAATATACACAAATATATAAATGATTAATTATATAAAATTTCAATATATTTATAAAAGATGTATAAATAATAAAGTATATAAACTCACAATATATCTTTATATCTAAATAATATACATAGAAATAACTATGTAGAAGTAAATAACCAAGCATTGAAGAAGTTTAATAATAGTCCTCTATTTAAGGAGACAGTACTGGGAGTCAACTCTGCTCCTAATTGCTAGCACATGTGTATTCAAGGACAGTAAATGAACAAATAAGCAAATGTTGTGCTGCACAGCTCCATATCATGGAGAACTTCCTTCTGATAATAATATAATGAACCATCCACTTAGACTTTGATATCGTGAATATTCCCATAGATATTGATGAATTTGTTCTCAAAGCTCTACTGTGATAAAGCAAGGGCCGCATTGTACACTTCCACACAGGAACCTGAGGTATAAACCTACAATGACATTCGGCCATTTTTTCCTGGGCATAACTGCCACAAGGCAGAGCTAAGATTATGGTGACATCCAGGCCTTGCCACCCCAGCACCACTGTGCTGTCTACTCCCAGAGTAGACCAGGAAAGTCCCACAAACAGAAGGGATGGGAGAAGGCACTTCTTCTCAGTTTGAGGGGAATTTAGAAACAGAAATTGGGCTGGGGAAGCCAGCATCATTAAATTTAGCCAGCCCCTCCGCCACACACACACACACACACACACACACACACACACACATGGAGTCAGGCTTTGGGCCTTTTCTCAATTTCAGCTCAGACTCTTCTATCTTTTATGCTTTTTTTCTAAAGACAGATTTGGAGACGAACCCATTCATAACTGCCCATCCACCAACAGTTTGTGGCAGCATAATTGTCAATGAGTCTGCTGCAAAAAAATGAAAATGCTGTTTTAATAACCTTGGCCTAAAATACATTTTGTTGTATGCCTCAAAGGGTTTCAATAAAGAGTCAACCTGTAGAGACATATTTTCTTGGCTTAAACAACAATCCAAAGCATATAAATGTAGTCCAACTATAATGACATATTTATAGGCCAATAAAGCTTACACTGCAGCTTTTCATACTTCACTTAAAGGGACTGTGTAAGAAGTGTTACATAAAATAATTTGATTTTTTCAAACTACAGCCCAAGGAATAAAGAATGCAAGTTAGTTATGTTTAAGTGATAGTATTTCTGCTCCTTAGTTGCCAAAAATTTTGTAAAACAAAATAACTCTTCGTTTGACTACTTCCAACTGCCATACCAAATATGGGCATCAAGTCCACTTTATTACAAAAGCTAAGTACTGTAATTCTAAAGACAAAAATAAATAACTAGAGGCTTGTGTAGTGAATGATTTAATCAACCTGATTCTTCTGGAAAAACAGGTTCTTGTATTCGTTATACTTATGAATAATACATTCTTTAACCCTTCTATTTTAAAATAGTTCTTTTTCTTTTTTTTAATAAACCCGTATGAAATAGCCTGAAAGAAGGTAAAACATGTCACTCAGTAAAGTCTCAATTTGCACTGATTTTATATTGAACTAACTTTCTTTGAAAAGGACAAAGAGGAGGAAAAACAATGAATGTACTTCACTACATCTTAGAGATTTTTTTAAAGATTATTACTTGCTCCAATATTAAAATTTGTAGTTTTAGTCAGCAGTCCTTTAGGGTCTTCAGTAAAAACTGAGATTTTTAAAAACTCTTTAGCCAGTACATCCTCAAATCTTGCCCGAATTTTCTCCTTTAAGTGGGGGAGGGGATAAAAATCGAAAGAGTTGCGATTTGAATCAGAGCAGTTATTGGAAGCTGCCATTTGGGGCAGGGCTTCTCTCTGTGGAGTACTAGCTTGCTGGCAGGCACACATTTGTGAGAACATTTTTGTTTTTTTACTTTTCAGAGAGAGACAGGAAGTGACACAAACTGGGATTAGGAGGAATTTATTCTACTTAAACACAGAGAAAGAAGAGTTCTTTAATTAGCTTTTATATTTTAAAATCCTTTCTTTGAGAGTCAGCCTACCTCTTTTGTCACTATTGATTTCTTTTAACAGGATGAAATAACGTAGCTTTATTTATTTTTTTTTTTTAAAACAACATGTTGGAATTTTACTTTATCCATAGAAAGGTGAGATCTTTACATTCTTTACTTGTAAAAGAAGAGAAGGGTCTTAAGTAATCTCCCAGTTCATCTTTCTTTGGGAAGAACAATGAAGTGTTCTAAGAGAAGGAAAAACCTAATAAGTGTGTGAACCGCCATGAACAATGCGGGGCTAGAGGTGGTTTCAGAGTGGCCCAGAGAACAAGAGATAAGAAAACCACTGTGTCCAGAGAAAAGCACAGCCAACAAACATTTTGATGCTACCCACAGAGAAAGGGAGAAGGTGAAGACAAGGTTTCTGGCCAGGACTGTGCGCAGTGACACACCCTCTCTCCTGGTATAAATCTCAATGAATCTGACCTGCAAACTTAGATCAGGCAGATTGTGGAAATTCATTACATTAGAAAAGTTTTTGTTTCTCTTTCTACGTTATTACAACACAGTGTGCATTCCAGTTACAAAAGCCATTTGTCTCAAATTCCCCACAGCTCATACCAACTGAGTAGAATTTCAAGGCCCTCAAGTCCATCCTTAAAGGGATACTTTGCATTTAACACAAGCAAAGGTACATGGTGTTTCTTACTCATGAGAGCGTCCCAATCTGGTTTTCTGTTGGTGACTTCTCCGTCCGCAGCACTCAGCCTAGAGATGTCTCCCAAGTGACACCCCCCACCCCCGCCAGTAGAAGTCCAAATCACCTAGCAATTCTGTCTCTCCACATTCCTTGGCCTTGCCTGTGTGGCTAGAGGCTGGTTTCAGGAAATTCCCCTGGTGAGTCCTAAGAGCAAGTAGACTTACAAACTATCACTCTAGATTTTCCAGACTAAACTGCCTGCAAGTTCTTTGTATATTCACTATAAGCCCATTTCTCCTAAAATCAATTGAAAAAAAAGAAAAGAAAAGAAAAAGATTATGAACCTTTTTACAATTCAGGAAAATTAAAATTTCTAGACCATTTGATCAAAATAAGAAACTCTTCCCTGGGGTTTTTCTTTGTATGTGTGTGTGTGTGTGTGTGTGTGTGTGTGTGTGTGTGTTCATTAGTAAACTAACCCTTTGAAACACGAAACAATCCAGCTATAAATACTCTTGTTTATAAGTGTGACATCAAGCTTAACCATCTCCACATCCTTTTGTTCCCCCATGCGTTTCCTGTTTAATTTTTTATTAGTAACAGTATATTCCATAACTTAAAAAAAGCTAAAGAAATGTTTTAATGTTAAAAAAGAAACACAAGACAATGGCTATGCAACTTACATCACACATGAGGAAGGCAACACAGATATAGTATTGAGCATTTTCACAATCATAAGAATGTGTATTAACAAAACTGGGACATAAGACAGTATATGTAAGAAAACTGTACTTTTTTTTCTTTTAGAGAAGGCAAAGCATTAGTTTAATAACTGCCTCTCATAGTACACATAGCTACTAGGGTGCCATGTCCAAAATATTACTGTCTGACATACAGCAAAAGATGCCAGGAAATAATTGATTGCTAAACTGCAAGAAAATATTAATGCCTTTCCCAAAACCCAGCAAAGCTCATCAAAAGCCAGAATCACATGAGAGATGCAGGCAGTTACTGGTGTTATTCAGTTTCTTTATGCCAATTAAAATAAATCATCTGGGTTTCTTGTAATAGTTGAGTTCTAGGTTAAAACAAAAAAACAGGAAGTTGTCACATTAAGACATAAAATAGAGCTAGGAAAATCAGCATTGTGCTAGAATGAAAGAAAAAGATGCCTTAATATGTTAAAAATGAAGTTCCTCTTTGTCTAAAGAGGAAATAACTGGTCTAAATAAGAGGTCAACAACTTTGGTCTTGAGCAATACTAGGAGAGTAAGCAGTGAAGCCCACAAAGGGGCTACAAACACAAGGAAAACTGTAGGGAAAGGACAAGAAAGTCAGGGAAGAAGGAAGTGTTAGAGCAACAGACTCCACCGTGGGGCCCCTGCTGCCTGTCTTCACTTGAGCTTACAATGACTTTATTTTTATGTGGGGAAACTGAGGTTAGAGGTTAAGTTAATTGCCTAAGGCTGCCCAGCTAAGTGTGAGCTATTGTTCCAACACTAATCAGAATGCTACAGAGCCTAACTCTGAATAACACCAAATCACCAGTTCTTTATACTTTTTGTGAAAGAGAAGGAAGAATCCAAAACCTTAGGTGGTTCACATGGGTGACCACTGGGCGCTGCAAGCTCAGGCTGTATGCTGTCAGGCTTTGTGGTGCCCCCAGGCGGTTCCTGTACCCCCGGGGTTGTCAGTCACTTCGCTTTCTGTACAACCCGAAGCATGAAATGCTGACAGTGAGGTAGTAGGGGTATACTGACTCCTTGCAGCAAGAGCTCAGATTCTTCAGTAATCCCATTTCAGGGGGCCTGAGTCAGGCTTTGCCTTGGCAGAACACTGCAAGCTGTTTAATGCTGTGTGTTATAGCGCCAGTGGAGGAAAACAACCCAGGAGTCTGGGACTGAGCAGCCAACACTCATCCCTTATCTATAAGGTTGCTTTTCATCCTGTATTCCTAGGTCCCTTTGAGTTAAATAAGTGTGTGTGTGTGTGTGTGTGTGTGTGTGTGTGTGTGTGTACACTCAATTACATGATAGGGTTTCCAGAAAAACCTATGACAAGCAAAGCTTACTGTATTCAGCCATACATTCAGGTTAGAGGTGTGAATTATATTTACCGAGGTCGGCCTTCTCCTTGAGAACATCTTTGAAGTTAAGGCCGCTGTTGAGGGTGGATTGTCTGTACTTCAGCAGGCCTTCCTTCTGGCCATTTCTCCCCAAGGCCTCCGATTTCACTGGCCCAGCCTGGAGGCCACACCTCCATTTGGAGAAATCCGAATGTACCCACTTGACCAGGTCTTCAAGCTTCACAATCACCTTTTCAGACACGGCAATGACTTCATCCTACGAGAGATGAGATGGGACAAAAAGCGTTAGTTCTGGGTTGGAGGTAAACGAGTCTCAGCGAAACTCTGCTAAACTGCCAGGTGGACAGCTTAACCTTCACAAGGAGACTGTGGCTTTTGGTATCCAAGAATCTCTGATAGCTTACTTCATTTCACTGGCTTTTCACTGCTAGTTATTTAAAGAATAATTTATAGTACATATTTGATACAGTTATAAAGTATCCACAAATGGGGTAATAATTCCAGTGCCATTTTGAATAGTGTTTGCAAAGCTCCCTTTACCCATGTAACTACTTGGGTGAAGGCAGATTTTGAGGTGCTATTAATTACAAATGTAAAAGGCGAGGGCTAGATGACTAACGGTTAGTCTGTCTGCATATAAATGTTCTAAGTAAATCTAACATTCTTGGAACTGTGACTCACCCTCAAATTCCTATGTTTATGGTACATTTTCCCTTGGCTTATACACAAATATTGAATTTAACTTTTGTCCTAAAAATTAAATAAAACTGTGATGTAATCCCAAAAGAAATACTTCATAAATGTTATGTGCTTCCCACTGAAGGAAACTTGCACATTCTCAGGTTTCTAAAAACCTTTGTAAGTTGAGAAATGAACTGAGTTTTTCTCTTAATACATATGGGGTAGGGGGTGAGAGGGCGACAGAGGAGAAAGTATTTGAAGCTAAGAAAAGTAGTTGAAACTTAAGTTCGTCTTATGGACCATAAATTTGAATTTTAAGCATCTCTAACTGCTTCCAGGAAGCAGCCAACTTTCTCCCTCAGAATAATCCAGCAAGATATGTAATAGATATCCACTCATGGAACAAAGGGAGGCCCCCTCACCCAATGGTTCTTTGCAAAAAAGCTTAGGAAGATCATTTCACTGGGTTTAAGTTAAATTATTTGAAGAATTTGGCTTTTCAACTTGAACTGACTTCTTTCATTTATTTTATTTCACATTTCTGAGGAAAGCTTAGCTGTGAAAACCCCTAAGCTTACAAAGCCTTCGAAATATTTTTGACAAAACAACAACAGGAAGATGTCGCTAAGCTATTATATGAAAGGAATCCACCAGTGATTTGGGCTAATTTTGCTGCTGAGCCTGACCCTCCCCCTCCTCTACCCACACACGCACGCATGCACGTTCATCCCACACACAAACGTCACTGCACACTCGACTCCAAACAGAAAAGGACTTAGAGAAGCTTCTCACAGAAAGAAGCCCTAGATTTAGTTTGAAAAAATATTTTAAGGTAGGATCTAAGATTCCACTTTTCCTCATTCAGTTCCGATTTGCTTCTGAGAAGAAGGTTTGTTAGGCGGCAAGAAAGTAATACTCTACCAAAAATGAAAAGTAAAACTTTGGTAATGGAATCCTTTCTCTTATCATGATCAAATATGAACTCCCAGTAAAGGGGAGACAAAGTGGAAACTGTGTCTCTAATCCTCTCCTCAAGAAAAAAAATTCAATATGAGATAAACAACAGGGCCTACTACAAAGTACCACTTCAATGGATGATCCCCCCACTGGCCACACTGTCCTCTCGAAATAGAAGATCTGTAGTTGTCATGCCTTTTATAGCTATTACATGGTGATTACTGAATATCAGAATAAAAATTCAGCCTGGGTATTGTTTCAAGGCATATGGGAACAGCTTCTGGATGGAGCATAGGAGAAATGGAGTTCCGAATGTACTGGAAAATGAAGTAGTATGGTATATCAGTCTCAATTTTAGTGAACATGGAGTTTGGCAACATTTTAACCAAATAAGGTTTCCTAGAATAGACAAGTTTGGAGATGAGTGTTATTTTTAAATAGCTGTACGATCAAATGATTATCATTTCAATTACCAATTGCTTCAGATCTTTTCCAAGAAATAGCATGACTAGTTCTGGCTGGCTTACAACACCGGCCAAACAAACAGTTTATTAACCAAGAGAAAATACAATCCTTATGATGTCACTGATGAACGAACTCATCTTTCAAGATTTAGTCTACAGATTCTGTCCTCGCGTCTCTCTCTCCCTGCCCCCTCTTACACACACACACACACACACACACAGATGCAGACATTCCCACATACATGTAAACCCTCAGCCCAAGTGTACATTAATTGTGAAACCACCAACATGTTTTATTGTGGCCTCACAGAGAAACTGGCCCTGCAACATTGTCAAAAGCCAGGATTTAAAAGTAAATCTGATAAGCGAAGGAGGGGGAAAGAACAAACAAGCCCAAAAGAACAGAACAGCCAACATATATATATCAGATATATATATATATATATATATATATATAGAGAGAGAGAGAGAGAGAGAGAGAATGTCTCAAGAAGCACTACTTTGTACACACGACGGCACAAGCCACGTGGTCGCATTTTCCTTCTGCGCGAGCACTCGGCCAGCCCCTCACATGCACTGTTCTTAGGCAAATCTGTACGTCTAAGGAAAGAATTTCAATAAGCTTTTCTTGTGGCTCCATTAGCTCTCTGCAAACTGAGAATCAGTGCTAAACAAATATTGCTGATTTACTCAAACACCACACAAAGGAACACAAAGGAGTACATTTTGTTATTTTAGCAAGGTACCTTGACTTTTCAATTAACCCAGCTCTGGATCAATCTTTATGTAAGCCATGTTAAGACACCTCCTAAGTCATTATTCTCTTTTACCATTGTTTTAAACTTTTTGCATCATTTGGATTTCTGTTCCTATGATTATGCAAAATAAACTTATTTAATTATGGATCCTCTGAGGACATAATTCAGGCAGAAGGTCACAAGCCATCTAGCCCATGTGTATGTCAAGCCTTTTCAAATGTTCTAAAAATTTGAAATTTTGCACAAAGCATTCAGAATTCAATTTCTTTTTATAAAACAACAGTCAAAAAAAAAAAAAAAAAAAAACCACCCAACCAAAAAATGAAAAAGAAAACCAAAACTAGCCAGAGAAACCACTTAAGCCTGAGGACAAGATGCCTTCTTTAGACAAGATGTGAAATCCCCACCAGTCCCTGCGACACGATATTCAGCCCACTTCTCCCCACCCTGCCTCGGCTTTGGTGGGTATTGGTCACTCACACTACATACATCCGTCCACTCCACCTCCCTCATGTGAGGTGCCATCCAGGTGCCCAGCGACAGCAGGACTGGGATGTAAACCCTCCTTCCTGTCCATCTGCAGTGTCCAGGGTGCTGGAGTTCAAATCCCAACCCTGGAATGTACTTTCTGTGGAATACTGGGAAAATTATTCTCCCCACGCTTCCATTTCTTTCCATACATAAAAAAGAGAAAAGGTCACAGTAAGTATCTATTGTATGATCTGTCATGATTTAATGGGTTGATGAAAATAAAGTAAGACATTGGGGTCGTTGCTTCTCTGTATTGGTGTTTTCCAAAGTGTGGTTTGCAGAGATGAGTTTAGGTGGTTCGCTGGTAAAGTTTTTATATATATTTTAAGTTACCCATTGCTATTTATTTTTGTGGTTACTGTCTATTTGTGGGAAAGTGGTACTGGTTTTCTATTTATAAGAAATATAGAAAGACTCTCTGTAAATAACAAGTATGTTTTAAAAAATACATCAATTGGAATAAAGCCATTAAGTAAACATAAGGGACATAAGATACAGGAAAAAAAGGTCAAGGTGCTATAAAACGGAAGTGAAATTTAGGGTCATAGTTATGTCAGTAGTTCTCAAAGTGCAACGCAGGTACCTCTGGAAATGCCTGAGACCATTTCTGGGGTCCACAGAGTTGAAACTGTGATCAAAACCATGTTAAGATATTAGTAGCATTTTTTACTCTTGTTTTCTTTCAAGCTTATGGTGGGGTTTTCCAGAGACTGTGACATGTGGCATCATAACAGAATAAATGCAGAAGCAGATGAGAAGCTCTCTGTCAAGCTAGAGAATAAAGAGATTTACAAAAACCTAAAAGTATTCTACTGTTTTCGTTGATATTTTTGTTTTTGATAATACAGTTAATTTTCATAAAAATGTGTTACCTTTTATGAGTGGCTTACATTGCCATTTTAATTTTCTTTAAAATAACTTTTCATGCACCTCTAATTCCAGCTCTTGGGAGGCTGTAAACAGGCTGATCACTACAAGTCCAATCTAGTAGTGAGACCCTGAACACCCTGTAGACCCTTCCCTAAAATACAAAAAAAACAAAAAAAAGCCTTGTTTTAAGGTTTCCTGTTTTAGAGTACAGCTCCATGGATAGATTCCTATAGGCCCCATCAGCACAAGCATCAGAGACAGGTCAGTGTGTCACCCTCAAAAGCTCTCTGTGTCTCTTCTTGCTGTCTCCTGTCTTTCGTCCGTCCCCAGCTTCTGGCAACCACTGAGCTAGTCTTCATGCAGCTTTGTCTTTCTTCAAATGTTGCAGCCATTGAATCATAGTGTGTAAAACCTTCTGGGACTGTTTCACCCTGCATAACGTCTCTGAGATCCACTCATGTTGATATGGGTATCAACAGTACATTGCTTTTTATTTCTGAGTAATATGCCAGGTATGAGTGGATACCAAACATGACTTATCCATTCCCTGACTGAAGGAAAACATGAAGCCTCCATTTCTGTGAGAGTAGATAGAACTACTTCCACACCAGGTGTGTAGGTGGACACAAACACATTGCGGGTCTCTAGAGTTAACACGTGGGGGAGGAGCTGAGAATGCCTCTGGCGATGTCTCCATCAGTCTAGAAGCTTCCCAGTGGTTTTCTCAGGTGACGCCAACTTTGCACTTTCACGAGCAACATGTGAGAATTCCAGTTGCTCCTCATCCTTATCAGCACTTGATACTGTAGCTAATTAATTAATTAATTAACAACAGTCAAATGTGTACACAGTGATTTCTCCTTGTTCTTTCAGTTTTCATTTCCCTAATGCAGATGATACCAGACATCTTTTCAGGAGTTAATTTGTCATGGGTATTTCTTTTTGATGAAAGGCATTACATATTTTGCCCCACTATAATAACTGGGTTCTTGTTT